AGGTTGGTACATTGGTTATTATACAGTTGGTACAGTGTGTTCTACATGGTTGGTACATTGGTTATTATTTTAGCTGATACAGTGTGTTCTACATCGTTGACACATTTGGTTATTATATATTTAGTACAGCGTGTTATATTTAGTTGGTAGAATTGGTTATTATTCACTTGGTACAGTGTGTTCTAACGGTTGGTACATTTGGTTATTATACAGTTGATACAGTGTGTTCTATATGGTTGGTTCATTTGGTTATTATTTTAGCTGATACAGTGTGTTCTACATGGTTGGTACATTTGGTTATTATACAGTCGGTACAGTGTGTTCTACATGATAATAACATTTTGATAATATTTTATTTTGTCTTTAGCTCATATAGATGAATTAAAATTAAATAGTAATGTTGCGTATCTGCTCGTTTGATAATTTCATTAATTTCCGATATAAATTGTTTCCGAGGAACTTCAGCGGTACAAGTCTTTTCTTAAACGCGACTTCCACTATCCCAAAACTGCCCCTTCCTTAGTATTGTTCATTCCCAACAATAGCCACTTACATTAAACCAATAGATAATTAACAATAAATTAATTAAATGTACAGTGTTTTCAAACACAAAATAAATATACCATAAAGTCTCTTACTTTTACAGGACGTATCTTCTTCCGTACTGGTCTCAATCTCATTGGCTTCTGCTTGACGTGAGGTTCATCTGCTTCATTATGAAATGTCCCTGTTACATATCTGCTCATTTGTTAATTTCCGGTATAAATTCTTTCCGAGAAACTTCAGCGATACAAGTCCTTTTTTAATTAAAACTAGTTTATTGTTTCTTGATATAACTTTGTAATACACAGAATTTTCACAGTCACTTTAAACTTAACTACTTTTATAACACACGCTATAAATCACGGTGATTCACACACTTTACTTACGGTGCCTACTGTTCGTTTAACTCAATTATCTATATCTTCAATTTAGTCTGCATATCTATCTTTCTATATCGTTTTCTTTTTTTGACAGGTTTATATACTAAAAGGAAGGCGTCTAGCAAACATTGGGACATAGCAGGGTTCCCCGATAATTCTGGAAACTCCAGCGCGCATGCTCCCAGCGACACGCGATTTACGCTGTCATAACAATAATTTCATAACATTCCCAACTACAAATATGAATTTCACTTCTCCCATGACAAGAGAAAAAAAATAATAAAGAAAATGTATTTAGTCTTACGTTTACGAAAATACTTTAGAAAAACAGACAGAAATCCCTTATAGTAAACAACACTATTATTAGACAACTTAATAAACAACAATTGCAAAGTTTAGAACATTGTGATTTATCCAAGATTACACTAACAGAAATGTTTTAGACATGATGATAAAACTGTGAAATTTGTTCTACACAAATGTAAATAAAGTTCTGTAATAAACTTAATTCTAACAAAAGTCAATAATAGAAAGTAATAACACCTGTACATAAACTGTCTGTGAACTTTCACATCTGACTTTCAGGTTTTTCTTTAGCTGGATAAACCAGTACGTCAATGGACGAAACTATTCTATTCATTGACGTCTTTTCACACTGTTTGTGGACTGTCCCTGATCCAAAAATGGAACTAACCCAAATACAGACGAATGTTATCATTTTGTAAAACTTCTTTTTTTTCTTACTCTAAAATAAAGAACATTGTAAAAGTTTGTGATTCTGACTTATTTGACATTTTTAAGTATTGAGTGTTTGAAATAATCCACAGCCGCGTTAAATAATTTAACTTTTAATAGTTGAACCGTACCCTGGATTTAGTGTTTAGAAATATGCCGATCTT